GCGGATGGTATAGGTGGTCCCAACCAAGAGTTGCAATATAGTTTTGCATTGCCGTCGCCGAGTGTGATCTCGCACTGTTATCCAACAACAGAATGCCAGATCTGAGAAGCCTAGGCCACTTTTTCCTAATCCATCTGCTTGATCGCTGCCGAACTTTACCCAATGATGTATCGGTATCTTGTGCGTTAACCTGTTGTTTCGTCGTTCCCCTTAGCCATTAAACGTATGCAAAGCCCTGAAATTTTCCTGGAGGGGATTTTGAAGTGGTACGACAAATGTCTCGATCAGGGGCGGCTCTAGGGCCGGACAAACCGGACCTCTGTCCAGGGCGGCAAATTTTAAGGGCGGCATTTGGATCAAATTCGAAAAATGTATATTTTTATGTTACAAAAAATTTGATATATTTTCTGAAATATTTTTGGGTGTGTATTTGTAATTTCATTTAACTCACCTTATTTGGTACTCTATATGCTTAATGTCAGTTTTTTTATGTTGAAGCTTGAAGAGTGTGAATATATTATTAAATCATGGAATTTGATACGTTTCATTAGTAACTTTCTCCCCATCCCAGACTGGGGTCACAACGAACATTCTTTTCACCCATACAATGCCCTTTTTCAACTATCCAAAAGGGGACTGATGTAATACGTTTTTGGTAGATAGCCACAGGAAATATTTTATTTTATTCTTTAGTGTATTTACTATAATTTAAACGTTTGCGATGCCCACCATTAGTAGACTCTTTTTCAAAGAAATTAAACCAGTTGAAATAGTTCAACTTAAGCCAGTAAAATAGCCAGTTCTTACATGTTACTCGTTGGGAATAACAGGCAATTATTTCACTAATTTCGGATTATTTTGTATGCCTTAAGACTTAAAATAATATATATATATATATATGTATAAATTCTTAATTGTTATGCTGCCTTTTGCAGGAATTATTCAAGTTTCATATAGGTGTGTACCTATATGAACAATTTATCTGTTTTAATTATGATTTTTTGCTTTGGAGAGAGGGGTGGCATTTTCCATTTTTGTCCGGGGCGGCAGAACTGCTAGAGCCGGCCCTGTCTCGATATACTTGGTACTTATGTGGAAAAATAAAGTTATGTCTTATCTCTTTATGTCTCATTCTTATGTTTTGACTTTCATACACAACTCTGACCACAGTCGACTCACCCTCGTAGTATTATTTTCTTTTTAAATGTTTTTATACAATGAAGACCAATAAGTTTCTAGACTCCCCCTCCATGATTCTTGTTCTTCTCGTCGTGTATGACAAAGTGCAAAGGTGGTAATAAAAAAACAAAGATATAGTCAAATATTGCCAAAGGCGTGAATAACTGCCGTGGCAACATCCATGGCATGATCTGAATATAGAATGCCCATGCTGCAGTCATTGTCTATTTTAAAAAGGGCATCAACAATGGAAGGACAGCTAAAAAAGTGTTTGGAATCCAGTTGCGTGCTTAGGCAGCGTCTGCTTTCTACGTATGATCTGGAACAATCGGGCAGAATATTCATGTCCTTAAAATGCGTTTGTCCTTAAACTAATTATTGCTGTAATTAAAAGGAAGGACATGGATACAATTATGAGGTTTCGTTTAGTAACTGCCTACACCGACGGTTCTTCAGAGTGCAATAGGGGTGGATCTGGTGCCTTTCTTAAATACCCAGATAATACATCTTCAAAGCACAAGGTCTCCACAGGGCAAATTGCTTCCAACTTCACGTGTGAACTCATAGAAATTAGGAAAGACCTAGATATTTACTTTACATGAACAGATATCGCTTATTCCGACGGCATCATTGTCCTCTCTGATTGTAGATCTGCTCTTGAGGCCATCACGGAAGGAAAAATGGGACTCGCCCAAGAAATCAATTCTCTTCTATTCTCCATTGGTGCATTGGATAAATCATGTACCCTCCAGTGGATCCCGGCCCATGTTGACATCGAAGGGATCGAGATTGCCAATTCCCTGGCCAATGAAGCCAGAACACTTGAACCTGTAACTTCATCTACTACGGTCTTTAATGCCAACGCAGTCGCAAAACAAAAGCTCTGCTCCCCCCCCCCCCCCCCCAAAAAATTATCGCTGCTAGAATTAAATTATATCTGATAAATTACCTCCTGATTCTTTCTTTAGTTAAATATTTTTAATTGAACATTCAAACATCCAGGAATAATCTGACGTTTCAAAAGCTAACTTAAGGAATTTATCGATTCATTATTTAATAATAATGGAGTTTAAATTCATATATTTCTTAAGAAACCAAAGCAGCATTGTTTTCTATTATTCACTACTGAATAAATTATTTAACGATAAAGTTGTACATTCTCTCTTTTCTTCTGAATAAAACTAGATGAGTTTTCAGAGACATTTTTAAGCTGATGGTATACAATGATTAATTGGGAAATGAAAATTTTATTATTTTAGATTTTAAGAAATTAATTATTGCTAAAAGTAACGAGTGTAATTAGTATCTTTGTGCTATATTGTATCAGAAACGTTTTCTTTATTGCTTTTTATAAGTTAATATTTTTTTATTAGCAAAAGCAGTATTGTTTTTTCGTTAATCATTGATCGAAAATAGAAATTTGATCTTCTTCCTGGGGAAAAAAGAAGGAAAAGATTTAAACTAAAAAAAGCCTATGCAATGCCGGGCTAGCGTGGAGGGAAAATCAACATTTCCGACGCCTCATATAGAAGGGGAAGAAATTTAAAAAAAAGTAATTTAAATGACATTAATATAGAAATTACGCATACCGGGAAGTGTTGACATCGAGTTAGGAAAGGGAAATTTCGCCGGAGAAAAAATTAGACACACGAAAAATCCCGTACAAAGCAGGGCTATGCAGCTAGTTTTATTTAAATATTTCTAACGTTGAGACTTTTACAGTTAATGGTTATTTGTAGATTATAGCATTGATATCTAACGAATAAATATTTGACTTTAACTAATAGCAACTTGTAGTTTTGTGTGTCTTTTGATAAAATATTTGCACTTAATTTGTAATTTTACTAATTTTATACTATCTCGCAATGTAGATTTTTAGACAGTTAATTATTTTAATCACAGAAAGTCAAAATTCTTTTTATCTAACAATAAAAGCAACTACTTAATTTTTCAAATTTCTTTCGAAGCAGAAAAAAAATTAATCGGAAAAGAATAACAATTTCAGTATATTCTACGGAAAAAGTAAGATAATTGAAAAAGATTTCGTTTGAAATACGTGATTTATAAAAACTATTTTAATGTTCCTTTTTATAAGTAGGCATATGTAAAGCATGTCATGTAAGCTTTTAAATTAATATATTCTATAAATGTTAAAAGAGATAAAACAAAAGCGGTAAAACACAGATAATATAAAAGTTATAAGTGAAAGTTTTTTGAGAAATGCTTAGAATTCTTATGGAACAAGTTTCTGATTTATTCTGAAAGTAAAACAAAATGTTATTTAAAAATGTGAAAGTTAATTTTTTTTTACTGTTTCGTGTTCGAAAATTTAATTATTTCTGAATTTGAATACGATTAATTCTATATAAAAATTTAAAAATTTTTTTAAAGAGAGAACGAACATTTTCAGAATACTTTTTTTTCAAATGAATTAGTAGTTAAGATAGTTAATTTGTATTTTAAAAATGTTTTGGTTTGAAAAAAAAATTTAAAAATAAATAAATCTTTGTTTTTACACTGATATGTTAGTAGAAATTAATATATTTGAAAGAAAAATTGTCTAATTTTGAAAAGATAACCGTAGATTTTTTGAAAAGATTAATATTAAAAAACAATGATTTTAAAATTCCTCTCAAGTTTTTTTTACACATGCATTAAAATTATACGTTCTAAAAGTTTTTAAAAATTTTTTTTTATCTACTCTAACTTGAAATACAAGAATGTCTTTTTTTATACAAAATAAAACTTTTATTTGCAAGAATATTTCTTTCTTTCAGTTAAGAAATCAAGAAATATTTAAAAGGTTAGACTTGGTTTAGGTTTTAGTTTTTTAACATACATAAGATCACAATTTTGCAAGATATCCGAACACGTTAAAATGACCTATTTGGATCAAAGTACACATTTTTTTAGTTATATAGAATAGATCAATATCTTAACTTTACAAAACATATATTATTTTATTTCTACGTTATTTAGAAGCAGAGTTAGAATAAATCACATAAAAGAAAAACCGGACGTGAGTCTTATCTACCAGAAGTAGGTTTTTAAATTGTTCAAAATCTATTATGGAGAGTTGATAACTCAAAATATTATAAATGTTTTTCAATGAAACTTTTTAAACCGGATATTTATATTATTTCCTAGGGAATGTACTAAAATAATTCGTACAGTATAAATCTCTTTTGAGTTATGGTCTGTTATTTCAATAATAGCCTAATAAATGTGTCAAATTTCTTACAATATTTATTCAATCAGCTCAAAATTTTTTTATATTTTAATGAAACATTATAAATTTTAGTGCTAAATGAATGAAATCTAATTTAGCAATACTTTTAGTGATATGTTTTTTGTTTTTTTTTTCTTTAAATGCGTTAAAGTATTCTTAAAAAATGGCTAAAATTTACTTAAAACTGGAATTTTTGTAAAATTTAGATTATTTATTGTAAAATTGCTGGAGTTAAATATTCATTCGCGTCGGTGATCCCTAAAACATATTTGTAATGTTATTTTAAGCTATTTTTCAATTCCTACTATTAGTTCTCTCCCTGCATATGTATATATATATATTGTATATTAGAATGAAATACTTTCTATTCATATATTCATCATTCATTCTATTCATACTATACGTTTAATGAAATACTTTCTATTCATCCATTTAAGTTCAAATAGATTTCTTTAAACTTGTAGTGGATGACACTTGATGTTAATACAGTTTATTCAAATATTAATTCATAATTAAATTAATAAATGAATAAATAGTAACCAACAAAAATAATCGTTCAATAGCATACATAGAAAGGAAAATCGTTCATTGTGCCCCTGTAGGGCAATGGATAGCGCGTTGGACTTGTAATTCAAAGGTCGTAAGTTAGAATCTTACCTGGGATGACCTAATTTCTGAGAATGTGTTTTCGTTTTTTTCTATTTTATTAGAATAACTTTTTAATTAATAAATAAATAGTTTCAAACATAAAAAATAGCCCAATACCATTTATAGAAAGGAAAATGAAAAATTGCAAGGAGAATCTTTTTCTATTTTTTCACTTAATATTGTGATTCTGTTATATGTATATACATATTTATATTAATTGTAACCATTAATAAAAAGTAACTAAAAAAATTTTTCGTAGATGACCTAAGTAGGAATTGACTTACTTTTTTTTTATAATACTTGTTTTAAAAGAAAATTACTCTTTTAATCAAACTAATAAAGTCTGTTAAAGAAAAAATAATTACACCCAACTCTTTTTTTACACGTTAATACGTTCCTTAGTAAACCGTGCAAAAAATCACGTAAAAAATACTTGCGAAGTATGTAAATTAAGGGATGTGTTCCACAATTTTAAAAAATCGTTTTAAATGAAAAATCTCTAAATATTTTTCGAAAAAACCATGCAAAAAAGTAATAATGACATTAATGTTACTTATTTATTAAACAAAATCATTAATTTTTATTACAAATAAATAATTATAATTAATGTACAGTGAGAATTTAGTCTATAAGTTCAAATTGAAATTAGGAATAATATTACTAACAACTATTTATTATTTGATAGCAAGCGTACACGTTTATTAGGAACTGGATCTTAAGGTATCCGACTGGTTGCAACAACTTTTTTTAAAAAAAAACGGAGATATGGGAATTTTTTTTGTGGTTTTTAGATTTGTTTAGTACATTTTAAGAAAAAATATGCTAATATTAAGAAAAGAAAAAGAAATTATTATTAATAAAATGGGAAAAAATAGGTAAAAGTTTACAAAAGATAGCACAAACGTGGCTCAATGTGTACACAAAGGTCTATGAACAAATTTTCAATTTTTTCATATTAATGTGTTGGTATGTCATTCATTTTTTAAATGACTTTCAGGATAATAGATATTTTCTTTTTTTACAAAAACTAGAGCACTTTATCTCAGTTATTATCTGAAATTGCTTCAAATAACAGTGATTATATTAACATAAGGGACTGTAAATTTTGTAAAAAAAACCAGTGATTGATAAATCTGAAGGTTAAAACAATTCCACAATTATACAGAACTTACAGAAAAAGTTTTAGTTAATTATTTTCCAAACTTTTTTAGCAATCTCTGGCCCCATTTGAGTATTTAAAAAAAAACATATTTCGAGTAAAACATGTTTTAAAGTATGACATCTCGCTTAAAGTAATGGCATCTGCTTTTACTAAAGAACTTGTAGTTTTTGTTCTAGTGAACGGAAAATGATAAACTTGGTATTTTTATAAGTCTAATAAGATGGCGTATAAAATAAAATCAAAAACAAAATTGTCATTTTTCGGCAAATTCACAATTTTAGGGTAGTCGGATATCTTAAATGCTATTGTCAGTTGATTTGTCAGATACTCCGAGCACAACTCTCGGTTTTGATTCAAATGAATAATTTCTTTCGTTATTAACGGCCTCAGTTGGTTTTTTTATTGTTACAAAATCTGTTATTAGCGGCTATTTTTTTTTTTGGTTTCTCGCTTATATAATTCTCACTGACGTAGTTAGTTTTGAGAGAGGGGGCCCTGTATCAAAAATTCCTTGTGGGGATCTTTTTGGGCCTCTTAATTAACGATTTTTTGCTTACACATATTGGGGCCCCTATAGCTTGGAGGCCTCGTATCATTGATACGGCGGTAGTTACGCCCCTGATATTTCTTGTTATCCTGCTACACAAAAAGATTACGTTGAAATTTTAATATACGCTCTATATGTGAGTGAAAAATAGTGTTGTTTCTTACTTGTAAGTAGGGATTGCAATATCGGGCCAAAAGTTCAATACCGGTACTTTTTTAGATCTTAAATAGCGGGATATCAGTTTTAATATCCATCGATAATAGAAATTTTAGAAATAGAAAGAAAACACAGGCGTTTCTTTGTTTTATTTGCCAGTTTTAGTAGCGAGTGTTAATATCACAAAAAAATTGTAAGTTGTAAATTATAACAGTATATATATATATATAAAGAATCACCCAAAAAGTAAAGGAACAACTTATTTATTTAAATCACAGAAAAAAGTGCAAATATAATTATTCAGTTTGTGATACTATTGCAAATTTTTGAAATGGTAACCTTAAAAACATAATACATCAAATGTATTGTCATTAAGCGATAACTAAAATCCCTGATGGCTTGGGCTTAGACGCTGTGCTTAAATTTCTATCTTCATCGTAATCAGATTCTTTCCTCTTTAACAAATTTGTATCATGGTTCGTTTTTAAATGAGTACAGAGTCGTTTTGCACTTCCTCTATTCACTTTAATAACTCTTGAATATTTTTTAGACTGAGCCACCATGTTTTTTTCATCCTATAAATAATGAAGCCAAAAAGAAGTATTATCAACTAATTTTTTATGTTCTTTAAAGTTATTCGTATGGCTTATTATTTATGAATACATATATATTGAATCTGAAAAATATTTTGAACCCTAAAGTATGATATGCAAATACAATGTGCACAACTAACTCCCCAATTAAAAAAATATCGAAATATTACGCACTTTCTTCACAACTACAACCTTGTTTTCACAGATTCAAATATCAGACTTCAAAACTTGCGAGTACGCAGTATCGCTCTGAGCTATAATAGGATAGTTTTGATCCGCCTCCTTGGATGATACACATATTTTATCACTCCTCTTGATTGTACGTCACAACCGTATATTCGGAGCATAATTAGTTTTGCCCTTTAGGGAGACATAAGAAACAAAATCATATACTACAGTGCAACTCAAACTTTCACTATTTGCAACCCAATATTCAATCAAAATTTTCATCGCGCCCTCCTTCACACAATAACAATATATTGAATTCAATAACACTATACTTTCACACTAAAGCTACATCACGGCATTAACCTCTTAAGTGCCACCGACGTATATATACGTCTCACTCAACCAAAGCGATAATTGCCCCGGACGTCTTTCCGAAGTACGATCTTTTCTCTGCACTACTATCCATAAAATTATTCCGAAGGCTTTGGAATGGAATAAAAAGACTATGACAGTGTTTGTGAAGGATTTAATTATTTCAGATGATTTCCTTTTTTTTAATTATTCTCCCCCTCCTAATACATTACAAACGCGTGCCTACGTAGAAAACGGTGGCATTGGGGAGCGAATCGAGTAACTTTTAATCGACAGTTAGGGGATTTTTTATAAACCGTACAAATTACCAAGATAAATACTAATTTTTGGATGTAGTTATTTATATTACAAGCCCATGGGGTCACTGATAACTATTAAACTTTTTTGTAACTTAGTATTGTTAAATTAGTTATAAATTACATTGTGCAGTACTCATACATTTTAGAAGTGTGTTATATGAGTGTAAATGTGTATTTTATTTTTTATTATGTTAGAATGTATTTTGTTTGTTTACTTTCCATAAATTAATAATTTTATTAAATAATCTTTTATTTTCAACTTTTAAATATTCTCACGCCCCCTCGTAGAGTTATCACGCCCTCCTAGGGGGTGCGCCCCACATTTTAAGAAACACTGGTATCTATTTTGCTATGTTGGTGATCCCTGAACTTATAGGGAGCCAATTTAAAAAAATTCTACTAAATACTAAAAAAAAGGTATTTAAATTTGTGAATACCGGTATTGCAAAATTGTACAAATGGCTCAAAATACCGGTATTGAAATCCCTACTTGTGAGAAACTTCAAGCTCTTGAGAATGAAATCAGCTGTTAATGAATGAACTTCAGCTTTGACATTGTCATTATCGAGATTAAGGTGTCATAAATTCGATCAAATCATCCTCATCCAAAGGATATGGATTCCCAAATTTTTTCTGAACATTGAACTAGAACAAAATATTTGTGTAAAAAAATCTTTAAATACGTGTACCGTGTCATTTCAAAATTCTCTAAAAAAAGCTGGGTGTGTTTTAAAAAGTAAAATTTTTCTCCCAATTTGATGCATTGTTATTAAATTAATCACAACGAAAAAGATTAATATTTGTTCATAACATTTTTTTAAAATTAAATATCTTAAATTTGAAATATCAATAAATTGAAATGAATAAATGTATTGCATTGAATAAAAAATTTTGGTAGAATCACTTTTCTTTGCTCTTTTAGTTGATCCTCTGATCCTCTCTTCCAAAAAACCGGGGAATGAAGAAATTTTGTTCTTTGCTTAAAAATTAATATGGTTTCGCAAATATTTTCTCAGTCAAAAATATTTGAACTGTCAGAATATGTATTTAAGCCCTATCATGCACAAACTGTAAAAACTTTACATCGCTTCCGCAAGGAAATAAAAATATTTGAGCCAGACAAGAAGGAAAACACAGAAGAAAAAAAAATGAAATGGTTCAAAAAACATAAAACGAGAAAAAAGTATTTTTTTGAATATTTTGAATGGCAGCAAAGACCAAAAAGGGATTTTTTATTACGCTGAAGGGAGGTTTTACTTTCAGATTTATTTGCTGTTTGAATATTTTACTTTTTTATACTTGATTTTTTTTAAAAAAAATCTTTTTAAGGCACTTGAAAATGACCGAGTTAAAAACAATTATTGTTCTAAGAAATTTAGCCTTGAGGTTCTTTTGATGTAAACAAATCACGTGTTAAAACATTCAGTGAAAACTTGTTACCGAATAAAATTTCCGCGACATTGAAAAAAAGAAGTATTTTTTTTATTTCGAATTTATTATTTTTCATTGTTATTAATAGATGCAAAAATTATTTAAATGGATTATTTTGAACTTGTATTTTGAATATTAAAATCATGAAACTCTTCTAAAATTAGGCATATTGTAAAATAGAAGAGTCGAATCCTTAAGTACAATTGCTCCATGATGAATTAAAACCACGTATTTTTTGAAGCTGCTCCAGATGTCCTGCTCCAGAAGTTTCTGATGCTTTTAATTAAGC